GTGGAGGTTTTAGCTTGGATTTGGATAGTGGAAAAGGAAAACTGTCCCCTCACAGCTGTGTGTGCTTGACCTCAGCATCTCACACCGAGCGAGGAAATGAAAAACATTGAGAAAATTACTTAATTGAGTCAAACCAAAGCTGGGAGAAGGTTGAAATGAGCTCAGGAGGTTCAACACCTTCCAGAGACCTGGAAAACTTAGCACACAACCCAAGGTCTGGCACAGGGCCTGGCAACACCAAGCCCAGCCAGCAACCAGCAGCCGTGGTCCGGGATGGATCCACAGCTCCACATCAGTGCTGCCAAGGGGAACAAGAGCAGCCAAAGGTGTGGTGGGAGCTGATGGATGGTTTTATTACATAAGGTGTGACATCCTCCCTCCATCCCCACTGGAACAGGGGTGAATGAGGGTTTAACACCATCCTTTTAACCTCTCCATGGCTGTTTCTCCTGCTGCTTTCCCCCCACACCTCTCCCCCCACATTTTTCCATCCATGCTCAGTGTTTTTGTGTGGAGTCTCTGTGCATTGCCCGGCGTGAGGACTGTCCACAGGGCAGGGGGCTGCTGGAGGGGTCAGTCCAGCTGGGACAGGACTGGGAAGTCATCAGTGTCCTTGGCAAGCAAAGCCTGCGGCACTGGGGATGTGCATCCCTTGTCAGGGGTGGATTTGGTCTCTGCCTCCACGGAGGGATGATGGATCCAGTCTCTGTCTCTATGCAGGGATGATGGATCCAGCCTCTGCCTCCCCACGGTGATGATGGATCCACAGAGAGTTGCTAGATCCTTGGGAAGATGATGGATCCATCTCTGACTCCACGGGAGATGATGGGTCCGTCCCCTGCCTCCACGGGGTGGTGATGGATGCATGGGGAAATGACAGGTCCGTCCCCTGTGTCCATGGGGTGACATGGGACAGCTGCCCACGCTAGCAGCTCCCTCCTGTGCACAGGAAGATGCCCAGGGCCATGCCCAGCAGCCCGAGGCTTCCCAGGACCAGCCCCAGGACCAGCGGAGCGCGCGATCGGCCGCTGACTTTTCCTGCAAGAGGCGAGAGGGATGGAGGTGACGACTGGGCCACGCCACCGCGTCCCTGTCCCCAGCCCCAGCCCCAGCACGGACCTGTCCTGGCGCTCTGGGCCTGCAGGATGCTGACACAGGTGGTGTTGAGGAAATACTGCAGGTCCTGGGTGGTTATGGGGTATTTCATCAGCTGCTCCTGGGCGAAGGCGGCCACCGGGAGCTCGCCGGGCCAGCGCCGCTCCCAGGTGGCGCTGGGGACGTGGAAGCTGAGGAACGCTGTCCTGTTGAGGGTCACCTCGTAGAAGCTCTGGGCGGTCCCGTTGGGGTAGAGGCGGCAGCCGAGGTGGCAGCACAGGTGATGGGTGACTGCAGGGACAGAGGGAGGGGACAGGGTCACCAGGCTCCCACCCTGAGTACCCCGTGGCCCTCAGCAGCAGCAAACTGGGCACTGAGTTTGCACAGCCTCAGCACCACCCAAACCACCCACAGCTTCATTTCCCCTCGGTACGGAGGGAGACTCTGGGCACAGAGCTGCTCGTGGCTCTCGTGGATGGAGCGAGACACCGGGACAGGGACACCGGGACAGGGACACCGGGAGTGGGGGCGGGTCGTGCCAGAGACTCCGCGGTGACACCGGGCTCCCCAAGGGTACCAGAGTGTGGGACTGGGCAAAACCGCTCTGGGGATAACCAAGGAAAGGAAAGGAAAGCACACCGAGGCAGGAGCAGCAGAGCTGACAGGGCTTGTGGGGCGGAGCGAGCAGGAGCACGGAACCATCGGCAGCAGCGTCCCACAGCTCCCACAAGCTGCGGGATGCAGGCAGGGTGTCAGGGATGCAGGTGGGATGCAGGCAGAGCACTGGCAGGGAGCAGACAGGGTTCCTACACCTCACCACCCCACAGGCTGCAGCCCCCAGCCCTTTTCCTGAGGAGCAGCAACAGGTTGAGCATCACCCCAGGGTGTACTCCGGGTAAGAAATTCCCGGCTGCACAGAAAGGCTCCCGTTGCCCACAGAGAGGTTTTGCACATGGCCGTGTCCCCATCCCTTCACCCATCTGTCCCTGCAGAGCCACCCCCGTACCCTGGCAGCGCGGAAGAGGCTCCCATTCCCCGGGGTACCCACCCCGTCCCCCGGGTACCACTCACAATTGATGGGTCTCTCCTTGTTGAACATCATCACCAGCAGCCTGAAGTTCCTCAGGTAGGCGATCACCTCGTCCTGCCGCCGGGCCCAGGCGTCCGGAGGCTCCAGCGGGAGCACCTGGGTGACATTATTCCCTTCCAGGAGATGGCTGAGCTGCCCATTCAGGCTGGCATTGCCGCGGAAGATGGAATTGCCCATGTAGACGCGGGTCAGCTGGAGCATGGTGAAGGCGAGCGGAGCTGCGGGAGACGTGGGACATCAGCCACCGCCTGTGACCCCCGTGTGCCCCTCGGCAGCCCCGCTGTCCCCAAGCACCGCCGTGTCCCTGCCTTACCCGCCGGCTCCGCTGCGCAGCCCAGGGCCCCGCCGAGCAGCAGCAGCCGCAGCATCGTGGGGACAGGGATGGGGACAGGGACGGGGACGCGCTGCTGGCCCGCGGCTGGCCCGGCTCGCAGCTCAGCCCGGCCACCCGCCGGGGAAGCGCTGCTGGCCCTCGGTTCGCCCACGGGATGTTAAGCGGGCCGGGGAGGTGGGGCTGTGGGGGGAGGAGAGCGGGACTCCGGCCAGGTCTCTCCCGTTTCCTTAACCCCAGCCATCCGCACCCCTTCCCTGCCGGATATGCCGGGCCCCACGGCGCCTGAGCATGCAGGATGAGGCTCCAAGCTCCCCCGGCACAGATGGAATTGGGTGAACTACCAGCAGCAGACTCAGTTTCCCCATCCCTTGGCCGGGCAGGGCACTGTCCCACTCCCCTGGGGGATGTGGGAGACCAGGGGGACACGGAGATGGGGATCACTGCCAGGGAATGGGGAGTATTGGAGGGAGCAGCCGCCCAGGACCGCACTGCACCCACCTGGATCCCATTCCCACCTGGATCCCATTCCCATTCCCACCTGGATCCCATTCCCATTCCCACCTGGATCCCATTCCCATTCCCACCTGGATCCCATTCCCTGTGGAGTGCAGCGTCCCACAGGGTTCCCCTCACTCGAAGAGACACCTCCACATCACCTGTAGGATCCCATCCCCTTTGGAGAGGACATCCAGCAACAGGACACCCCTCCCTGGAAAGTGGTGACACTCTGGGTAGCTGAGCTGGGCAGTGGGGATAAGAAATCCATAGCAGGGCCAAACCTCCACAGGTTTGTTTTTTAATTACACCTAAAAATGTAAAATTTCTACTAAAGCTCCAGCTCGTCTCATTGACAGAGCATGGCACAGCCTGGGGTGGCATGTAATGGCATCACACAGCCTGCTATGGCATGGAATGCTGGGTGGGAAGGGACCTGAAATCCCAACTCATTCCACCCACTCCCACAGGCAGGGACACCCAGGATTCTCCAAGCCCCGTCCAATCTGGCCTTGGACACCTCCAAGGATCCAGAGGTAGCCACAGTTTCTCTGAGCAGCCTGTGCCAGGGCCTCACCTCCCTCACAGGGAAGAATTTCTCCCCAGTATCCCATCTAATCCTGCCCTCTGGCAGTTTGAAGCCATTTCCCTCTAACAGGACCATTGGGAATATTCTCTCTCCATGTTTCTTGTTGGCTCTTTCAGGTGCTGGAAGACCACAATGAGGTTACCCCAGAGCTTCTCTCCTCCAGGTGAACCATCCCAGCTCTCCCAGCCTTTCCCCCAGCAGAGCTGCTCCATCCCTCTGCTCACCCTGGTGCCTCCTCTGGGCTCTCTCCAGCAGCTCCAGCTCCTTCCTGTGCTGGGCCCAGGGCTGGGGCAGCTCTGCAGGTGGGCTCTCACCTGAGCAGGGCAGAGGGGCAGAATCCCAATCCCTTTCCTGCTGCCCACGCTGGGATCAGCCCAGCACAGGGGCTTTTCTGGGATGGGGCATGGCCAGCCCTCACCACCTGCACCCCCAAGTCCTTCTCCAGGGGCTGCTCCATCTGCTCATCCCCGGCCTGGATTGATCTCGGGGGTTGCCCTGACCCAGGGGCAGCACCAGCACTTGCTGGTGTTAAACCTCATGAGATTCCCATGGGGCACTTCTGGAGCTTGTCCAGGCCCTCTGGATAGCCCCATCCTTCAGGAGTGTCACTGCACCCTCAGCCTGGTGTCACCTGCAGACCTGCTGAGGGTGCCCCAAACCCCCTGTGCCAGCGATGCAGATCGGAAATATCCCTGGTCCCACACAGACCCTGGGACACCACTGGTCACTGATGGCCACTCTGAGCCACGGAGCCTCTGGATGTGACCATCCAGCCCATTCCTTATCCATTTGACAGTCCATCCATGGAATGCAGCTCTTCAATGCAGAGAGAAGGATGCTGGGTGGGATTGTGTCCAGGCTGTATAGAAATTATAGGATAAATGTCATCCATAACCTTTCCCTTGCCCACTGAGGGAGTTGTCCCATCAGAGAAGGCCACTGGGTTGGTCTGGCAGGACTTGCCCTTGGTGCAGCTGTCCCGAGTCACCTTCTGTCCTCCCTCCCCCTGCCTCAGCAGAGCTTCCAGGTCCTGTCCACGATCCCTCGGACACAGAGGGGAGGGGACGGGCCAGGTCCGCGCCCCAGGCCCCTCCTTTCCACCCTTTTTGAAGATGGGGACAAGGAGTCCGTTTTTTCCGGTCACCTGGGACCTGACCGGACATTCAGGACCTTTCAGATATCCTGGAGGGCGGCTGAGCAGCTCCATCAGCCAATTCCTTCAGGACTCGGGGACGAACCTCCCGCAGGATGGCGCGGTCCGGGACGGCGGGACGCGTGCCCACTGTCCGGGACGATACGGCGCACCATGTCGCGATATGGTGCGATGTGTCCCCGGTCCGTGCGTGTCCCGGGGCGTGTCCCCGGTCCGTGCGTGTCTCGGGGCGTGTCCCGGGGCGTGTCCCCGGTCCGTGCGTGTCCCGGGGCGTGTCCCGGGGCGTGTCCCCGGTCCGTGCGTGTCCCGGGGCGTGTCCCCGGTCCGTGCGTGTCCCGGGGCGTGTCCCCGGTCCGTGCGTGTCCCGGGGCGTGTCCTCGGCGGCGTTGCCGGTGCCGGGAGCGCAGCGATGGCGGCGGCGGAGCTGGAGCGGCTGCGGATGGCGGGGGCCGGGATGGCCATCGCCGTCCTCACCAGCGGCGGCGACGCGCAAGGTGCGCCCGGCGGGGCGGAGGGGGGCTCGGGCCGGGCCCGCCGCGTCCCCGCGTGTCCGTGCCCGCCACCGCGACCGCCGGGGCCGGGGTCCGCGGCCCGGGCGGGTGATGGGGACCCCCTCCCGGTGCGCCCCGCCAGCGCCGCTTCCCCGGCCCGCCACCCTCGGGCCGCCGCCGTGGGAGGGCAGAGGGGCCCCGCGGGGCAGCCCCACGGAGGGGCTGTGTCCGTCCCTGTCCCCATCCACGCGCCCCCCCGCCCCGGGATGAGCGGCTCGCTCCCGCAGTTCCCCGTGCACGGCCCAGCTGTGCGCGGAGTGTCCCGCTCTCAGCCCACGTGGCTCCCCGCCCACTCAAGAGGACACCTCAGGGTCACCTGTCGGATCCCGTTCCCTGTGGGCTGCAGGGTCCCAAGGGGTTCCCCCTGCTCGAAGGGACAACTCAGGGTCACCTGTGGGATCCCATCTCCCGTGGGCGCAGGGGATATTCCAGCTCATATATCACTTTTCCAGGCATGAACGCCGCTGTCCGCGCTGTCACCCGCATGGGGATATACGTGGGAGCCAAGGTCTTCCTCATCTACGAGGTTGGGCTTTCCCTCTGCTCCCCATCATGGCTGGGGGGATCCACGCCCCTGTGCCAGGGCACCTTTGACTTCCATCCTCTGCTTCTCCACAGGGCTACGAGGGGCTGGTGGAGGGGGGTGACAACATCAAACAAGCCAACTGGCTCAGCGTCTCCAACATCATCCAGCTGGTGAGGGTCACCATGGGGCCACGGGACCCCAGATCCCAGCCCTCCAGACGTGTGTGACAAGCCACGTGTCCCGTTCTGTCCCCAGGGCGGGACGGTGATCGGCAGCGCCCGCTGCAAGGCCTTCACCACACGGGCAGGCCGGCTCCGGGCCGCCCGCAACCTGGTGGAGCACGGCATCACCAACCTGTGCGTCATCGGCGGCGACGGCAGCCTCACCGGTGCCAACATCTTCCGCTCCGAGTGGGCTGGGCTGCTGGAGGAGCTGGTCCGAGATGGTGGGTGAGCCCTCCCAGCCCCCCGGGTGGGTTGATGAAGGCGTTTGAGGGCGGTGAGGTCTGGAGGGTCACCCCAGTGCTGTGACCCCGAGGAGGCCTGGGCTCCAGCCCCATGATGGTGGGGACACGAGTGCCCTGAAATAACCGCTGTGGTGGCCGTGACCCCCCCCCAGGGCAGATCAGCGAGGAGGTGGCGAGGAAGAACTGCCACCTGAACATCGTGGGGCTGGTGGGCTCCATCGACAACGACTTCTGCGGCACCGACATGACCATCGGCACCGACTCGGCGCTGCACCGCATCATGGAGGTCGTCGACGCCATCACCACCACGGCGCAGAGGTGAGGGGGACGGGCGGCTGGGGGCTGCAGCGCCCGGCCATCGCACCCACCGACCACCTTCTCTTCCCACCCGTGTCCTTGCAGCCACCAGCGGACGTTCGTGCTGGAGGTGATGGGTCGCCACTGCGGGTAAGCCCCCGTGGCTGGGGAAGCCATCGGTGGGACGGGATGCCACGTTTCGGGGTCAGAGCTGCCACCGCCGTGTCCCCCCAGGTACCTGGCGCTGGTGTCCGGCTTGGCCTCGGGCGCTGACTGGCTCTTCATCCCCGAGTCCCCTCCGGAGGACGGCTGGGAGGACCTCATGTGCGAGAGGCTTGGGGAGGTGAGGGGGGTTCCTGCCATCCCATCCCATGCCTGGTTCCCCCCGGGCAGTCCCCGCAGGGGCCGGGGCTGAGCCCTGCAGCCGTGCCCGGCCCCTGCGAAGCTTCGGGAGCTGCCGCCATTGTCCCTGTGAACCGGGGCACTGAGCCGAGCGCAAATCCAGCCCCGCGTGCCAGGGGCAGCGCTGGCTCGGGGGCTCAGCTGCCGTGACCTGAGCCGCCCCCGGGGCAGCACAGACGGTGGGTGGGGAGGGCGCTCACGCACGGCCCACGGTGAGTTTTGGCTGAGCCGTGGTGGCCGTTTGTCCTCCCCTCGTGGCAGACACGCAGCCGGGGCTCGCGGCTCAACATCATCATCATCGCCGAGGGCGCCATCGACCGCAGCGGCAAACCCATCTCCTCCAACTACGTGAAGGACGTAAGGCACTGCCCCGGCACCACGCTGGCACCCACGGACACCGGCGGGTCCCCAGCGTGATGTCCCCTCTTCCCCACAGCTGGTGGTGCAACGCCTGGGCTTCGACACGCGGGTCACCGTCCTCGGCCACGTGCAGCGCGGGGGGACCCCGTCCGCCTTTGACCGCGTGCTGGTAGGTCCAGGGGAGGACACAGAGAGGGGGAACCCCGCTCCTGCCATCCCTCTGCCCAATGGAAAGGGGTGAGGCTCAGCCCTGCTTTGCTGGGCAGATTTGTGCACCCGTTTCTCCTCATTTACTCCAAATTTCATGAATTTTTAAATAAAACCATCAGCTTTCCAGCAGTGAATCAGCAGCCACATGGTTTCCAAGCCTGTGGGAGCATCCCTGAGCATCCCACCCAGCTGGCGCTGGTGGCCCAGTGTCACAGGTGCCCCTGTCCCTTTGCAGAGCAGCAAGATGGGGATGGAGGCGGTGATGGCGCTGCTGGAGGCCACGCCAGACACCCCGGCCTGCGTGGTCAGCCACTCTGGGAACCAGTCGGTGCGGCTGCCACTCATGGAGTGTGTCCAGGTGGTGAGTACCGGGGAAGTTGGGTGCGGGTCTCACTCCCTTCCCTGTGAACGTGGGTGTTATGGTGCTGCATCTTTCTCCTCGCTCAAGACAAAGGATGTGCAGAAGGCCATGGACGAGAAGAGGTTTGAGGAGGCCATCCAGCTCCGTGGAAGGTGAGGAGCAGGAACCAGGACTGCAGGAGAACATCCCTCTTGGATAGGGGCTTCTCCTTGTGGGGAAGCTGTTGGCTCCTGCAGCTAGAAGAGTGTCTCCAATCACACTCCAGGGGCACTGGGGAGAATGTCCCTTCTCCCAGACGTGCCTTGGGAACACATCACCATGTCTTTGCAGGAGTTTTGAGAACAACTGGAACATCTACAAGCTGCTGGCGCACCAGAAGCCAGCTCAGGAGAAGGTGAGGAGTGATGGGGAGCAGCAGGGTACACCATCCCCGCCTTGGGGACATGCAGGGATGTGCTGTTCCCATCCCTGTCCCCTCAGAGCCCCTTCAGCTTGGCCATTCTGAACGTGGGAGCACCGGCCGCCGGCATGAACGCTGCCGTGCGCTCGGCCGTGCGCATCAGCATCTGCCAGGGACACACCATCTACGTGGTGAGCGACGGCTTCGAGGGCCTGGCCAAGGGGCAGGTAAGGGGCACAGTGAGCTGGGATGTCTTGGAGGATGGGGTTGGGCTTGGGGGAGGGGGGCTCTTCCCACCCCTACGCTGTCGCCGGTGCCCGCAGGTCCGCGAGGTGGGCTGGCATGACGTGGCAGGATGGCTGGGCCGCGGTGGCTCCATGCTGGGCACCAAGCGGTGAGTGCAGCCCTGGGGACAGGGGCATAGGGAAAGGGTGTCCCCCACCATCCTCACCCCACCGTCTGCACCCCCTTCCCCACCACAGGACGCTGCCCAAGACCTGCATGGAGAAGATCGTGGAGAACGTGCGCAAATTCAACATCCAGGGGCTCCTGGTCATTGGGGGCTTTGAGGTGCGGCGGATCCTTGGTTCAGCGGGGGCCGGGGTGGCTGTGGGCATCCCAGAGGAATCTTTCTGGGATGCAGGCCTGGCTGCAGGGCCAGCATTTCCCAGTCCCTCGGCTGCTTGCAGGCATACGAGGGGGTGCTGCAGCTGGTGGAGGCACGCGGGCAGTACGAGGAGCTCTGCATCGTCATGTGCGTCATCCCCGCCACCATCAGCAACAACGTGCCCGGCACCGACTTCAGCCTGGGCTCCGACACGGCCGTCAACGCCGCCATGGAGGTGAGGGACAGGGAACAGGGCAGCTCACCGTGCTCCACCACCTTCCACCATGGCCTGGAGTGGCCGGGGTCCCGTGCTGGGGGAGCAAAGGTGGCTTTCCCTGGTGTGACCTCCCCGTGCTTGGGCACAGAGCTGTGACCGCATCAAGCAGTCGGCCTCGGGCACCAAGCGCCGCGTGTTCATTGTGGAGACCATGGGGGGCTACTGCGGGTACCTGTCCACGGTCACCGGCATCGCCGTGGGCGCCGACGCTGCCTACGTCTATGAGGACCCCTTCACCATCCACGACTTAAAGGTGAGCGGGCAGGAGCGGCTCTCTGGCTAAAATGAGAAGGAGGAGTGGGGAAGGGAGGGCTCCAGAGCAGGGCAGGAGCTGGAGGACATGGCCACGCTGTGGGATGGCTGTGGGATGGCTGCTGGCATCTCGGTGTTCATCTTGCAGGCCAACGTGGAGCACTTGACTGACAAAATGAAGACAGATATCCAGAGAGGGCTGGTGCTGCGGTGAGTTGTGGGCACTGGGGACAGTCACTGCAAAGCCCAGCCCCGTGGCAGGGAGCAAGGCTGGAGCTGAGCCCTTCCCATGGCCAGAGAGGGGTCCCGGGCACAGTGAGGTGTGGGACAGTGGGCACACACGTGGCCCTGGGGACACTTGCCATCCCCATCCATTGCCATCCCCACCCCAGCGTCTTCCTGGGGACACAGACTGAGGCCCTGGGCCTCAGGGAAAACAAAACAGCACACGAAAGGTGTTACAGGAAACAAAGGGGGACCCCTGGGCATGCCAGCGGAAGGAGCAGCCCCCCAAGCCCTTCCCTCTGCTCCCCAGCAATGAGAAGTGCCACGAGCACTACACCACCGAGTTCCTCTACAACCTTTACTCCTCCGAGGGCAAAGGCATCTTTGACTGTAGGATCAACGTCCTGGGCCACCTCCAGCAGGTACAGAGGTACAGGGGAGAGGGGAGCATGGGCCTTGCTGGCCCTGAGAGCTGGGCAAGGCCTGACATCCCCATTTCTTTGTCCCCAGGGGGGAGCCCCAACCCCCTTTGACCGGAACTATGGGACCAAGCTGGGAGTGAAGGCGGTGCTGTGGATGTCAGAGAAGCTGCAGCAAGTCTACAGCAAGGGTGAGCCGAGGGCTGGGGTTCCCACGGGGGGTAGGGAGGCTGGTGGCTGCTGCTCCAGGCTTCCAGGAGTGGCCCCCGGTGAGGTGGCCAAGGTCAGCAGTGTCCCCCTCCCAGGACGTGTGTTTGCCAACTCTGGAGACACTGCCTGTGTGATCGGGCTGCGGAAGAAGGTGGTGGCCTTCAGCCCTGTGACGGAGCTCAAGAAAGTCACGGATTTTGAGTAAGTCCCCATGCCCCAGCATGGGGCCTGGCTCCTGGGGGAACCTTCCCGGGGTGTCTGCTCTAGAGCTGTGTCCCCTGCACAGGCACAGGCTGCCCCAGGAGCAGTGGTGGCTGAACCTACGACTGATGCTGAAGATGCTTGCCAACTACCAGATCAGCCTCACCGAGTACATCTCGGGGCAGATGGAGCACGTCACCCGTCGCACCCTCAGCATCGAGAAGGGCTTCTAGTCCCACCAGCCTGACCCATAGCCCCCGCCGTGTCCTCTCTGTGCCCACATGCTGCTGGGGGAGCACTGTGTCCCCTCTGTTCTCAGTAGCCCTGTAGCTTTGCCATCGACCCCTTACAGCAGGCAGAGCCTGGTGCTGTGTCCCAGAACGGCACAATCCTGCCCCGAATCACTGCTGCGGGTTCTGGTCCCTGTGCAGATGCAGAAGAGTTGGTTGAGCCCAGCTGCACAGCCCAGACCCTTAATCTTCCCTTAATAGTTTATTATTATTTAATGATGGGGTATTTTGAGTCCTTACTTAGCAGCTTGACCGCCTGAGCCAGCTGCTGCTGCTTGTAGTCGCCTGCCCCACGTGCGGGAGGGGAGTGAGGAGGATGCGGAGCCATCCCAGAGTGGGTTGGAGCTGGTCCCAGGGGTTCCTGGGTGTCCCCGTGGAGCTCCATCCCCCGTGGGGGTCTTGAGGGCTGAGCACGGGGTCCTGGCGAGCCCCTGTCCCCTTGCATGATGCTTGGCTGCGACCATCACCACGTGGCTGTGGGCGCTGTGTCCGTCACCTCACCGCTGCTCTGTGACCCCCAGGTCCTGCACCGCCCACGGCACTGCTCCTCTCCTCTAGAGATAAAACCTGCTGGAGCCAAACCTGCCTGCTGGAGTGGTCATTGCAGGGGGGAAGGGTGGCAGGACAGGGGTGGCGTGGAGGGAAAAGCAAAGCCTGATGGTTTTCCCAAGCTGGGTTAATGCCAGGAAGACATTCCCTGGTTTTGTGCCTCCTCAAAGCCTGGGAGAGTGGGACTGCAGGCGGCTTCTCCCTGTCTAAGTCGTGGTGGGTGCAAGGTCAGCATCCTTTCGCAATCACTTCATGATTCCAGAGAAAAATCACTGGCTTCCCACCTCCAAGGGAACCACTCAAGTGCGTTAGGGGGGTGCAGTTTCTCATGGGGCTGGCCAAGTGTGCCGGCCTGGCCGAGCTCCGCGCGCTCGGGCTGCGCCAGTCGGTCACAGGGAGCCCCTTTCCCAGGCCACTTCCCTCCTGGGGCTGCTGGCTGACGCTCCAGCCTGCGGGACAGCATCAGCATGCATCACAGTTTTGGGGTCAAGCATGCTGTTACTTTGTCCTCCCCATGGAGCTGTCCCCAAGTGAAAGCGCCCCCGACTTGCCCCCTGCCTTTCTCTGATGGGGCGACTCCCTCAGTGGGCAAGGGAAGGGTTATGGATGACATTTATCCCGATTTCTGTACAGCCTGGACACAATCCCACCCAGCATCCTTCTCTCTGCATTGAAGAGCTGCATTCCATGGATGGACTGTCAAATGGATAAGGAATGGGCTGGATGGTCACATCCAGAGGCTCCGTGGCTCAGAGTGGCCATCAGTGACCAGTTGTGTCCCAGGGTCTGTGTGGGACCAGGGATATTTCCGATCTGCATCGCTGGCACAGGGGGTTTGGGGCACCCTCAGCAGGTCTGCAGGTGACACCAGGCTGAGGGTGCAGTGACACTCCTGAAGGATGGGGCCATCCAGAGGGCTGGACAAGCTCCAGAGGTGACCCATGGGAATCTCATGAGGTTTAACACCAGCAAGTGCTGGTGCTGCCCCTGGGTCAGGGCAACCCCCGAGATCAATCCAGGCCAGGGATGAGCAGATGGAGCAGCCCCTGGAGAAGGAGTTGGGGGTGCAGGTGGTGAGGGCTGGCCATGCCCCATCCCAGAAATGCCCCTGTGCTGGGCTGATCCCAGTGTGGGCAGCAGGAAAGGGATTGGGATTCTGCCCCTCTGCCCTGCTCAGGTGAGAGCCCACCTGCAGAGCTGCCCCAGCCCTGGGCCCAGCACAGGAAGGAGCTGGAGCTGCTGGAGAGAGAAGAGGAGGCACCAGGGTGAGCAGAGGGATGGAGCAGCTCTGCTGGGGGAAAGGCTGGGAGAGCTGGGATTGTTCAGTCTGAAGGAGAGAAGCTCTGGGGTGAGCAAACTGTCAGTACCTGAAGGAGCCAACAAGGAAGCTGGAGAAGGACTTTGGACAAGGGCCTGGAGTGACACGCCGAGCGGGAATGGCTTCCCACTGCTGCAGGGTTAGATGGGATACTGGGGAGAAATTCTTCCCTGTGAGGGAGGTGAGGCACTGGCACAGGCTGCTCAGAGAAGCTGTGGCTGCCCCATCCCTGGAAATGTCTGAGGCCATGTTGGATGGGGCTTGGAGCAACCTGGGATAGTGGGAGTGGAATGAGATGGGATTCCAGGTCCTTTCCCACCCAAAACCATGCCATGATTCCATGATTTTAGAGCTGTTCACCTAACTGAACACATTTTAGGCTGCGAAGATGGTAACTTTTTTCTGCTCCCTGACCTGTAAGTAGCAGACCTTGCTGATGGAGGCAGCATTGCTGCTCTTGAATGAGTAGCTGTTCTGGGGACCCCAGGCAGAGAGACCTGGCTTCTCCTGGAGCTCCATTTCCTGGGTGGGAAAGGGGCTCTTCCACTCTCCTTTGTGCCATTCCACTGTGGGGAACCGCAGCCCACTCCTTCCCTCCCTCCGTCCCTCAGCCATGGCCCTCACACCTGCCTCACCACCAGCCTCTCCAAGGAAGGTTTGGAGGGAAGTGGCTCAGCCCAGCTGCTGGCATTCTGCAGAGCTGCAACCATCTGCATTCACCGCTCCATACTCCGGCTGAGGCAGGGCAGGGTGACCGCAGGTCATGTGGAAAATCTCGTCGGCAGCACTGCCCTGCAGCAAACAGGTCTAGGGTGTGAATGGGGACAGGCTCAGACCAGCCACACGCTGAGGGACAGGAGTCACTGCAGCACCCACGCCTCATTTCCACCAAAAAAAAATACCTGGAGGGCCAAATTCATGGGAGGAAATGGACAGGCACGGCCACTGCATTCCGAGGATGAGCAGGAGGGGTGCAACTGTGCTCCCAGACTTCCCAGCACATCCAGCCCACCCTGAAGAGAGGCCAGAGCAAGCCTCCAGAAGCATCCTGCAGGGGAAGGCGGGCTGCCAGGGCGCTGGAGGGGCTGAGCCCCCACTGGGGTTTGCTGGGATGCTGCAAGGAGCACTTGGGAGACCCGAGGGCAACATCAGCAGCAGCCAAGGATGATAAGCACAGCACGTAGGCTGCAAACAGCCCAACTTCTCCAGGAATTGTGTCAGTGTGGCCTCAAGGGCACAGTGATTGCTCCACCAGCCCCATGACCAAGTCCTGACGGACACTTCCTTTGATCACTCACATCCCAGAAAGGCTGGGGGTCCAGCTCACCCCGACAACAACTCCCTTGTTCCTTGACATGGACAGGCCCGGGGCCTGGGAGAAGACTTGCACTCAGCAGGGTGAGTCTCCCAGGCCCTGGCTGTCAAAGAAAGTCTGGGACATCATAAATCACACAACTGCAGCTGGGTTTAATGCAAAAGGCAAGAACAAAGGTCTTTCGAGGAGTTAAAGGCATCAGCAAATCTCCCCCTGGGTGACAAGTGTCAAACAGTGTCTGTTCCCACCAAGGTCAGGCAAACAGGCTTGTGGACACAGGGCTGTCACCATCCCTGAGGAGCATTCCTGCCTGGTAGCACAGCCTGGACACTGCACAAACAGGGACGGGGGGCCATGGAAAGGCCTCATCACTCGTGCAGCACTGGGAGACACGGAGGGCTTGTGTCCCATGTCTCGGGGCCATCATCCCGCCCAGGTGGCTCTGCACTGAGCTCTCCTCAGCACCTCTTGTGCTCCCTGCCTTTGCTGTGGTTGCAAGAAGGCTGCAGGACAGCGAGTGCCCCTGCAGAGCGGTGCTGGGAGCAGGCTCAGCGTTTCAGAGATGCACTGAAGCGGGAAGGCGCGGGGCTCCCAGCCCTCCTCCTGCTCCACAGGGCGCACAAAGCACTCCCTGAACCAGAGGTAATGCAGTAGTGCCCCCAGCCAGGCCTTTGCTGAACTCCAGCCACCACTTACACGGCCTTGAGGGATAATTGGGTTTATTTGGTGTGTCACAACAGTTTAGTTTGTACTCAGCAGCTCTATAAAACTTGGTAAATGCAGTTTTATCAGTTAAAGAGCAACAACCACCCCCCACCCCATGCCTGCGCAAATCAGGCAGAATGCTCAGGGCCTTTTAACTGGGATGTTTCTTTAAGCTGCTCTAATGCCTGCAGGGAATGCTGGGGTGAGAGGACAGCTGAGCATTCAGGATGTGGGAGTCATTCCTGGTTCACCTAGGCTGCTCTGAGCTTTCCTTTGGGCTGCCTGACCAGCAGGCACTGCATGCACCAGTGAGGACCTGAGTTAAGTCAGCCAGGAGCTGGAAAATAAATTAATAACTGGACATTGACCTTCACCACCTGCACCAGACAAGTCTTGGTGACCATCTCAGGCAATGTCTCCCCGTCAGACTCCACCAAACCAGATCTCTGTGGTACAAACTGCCCTCAGAGGTGCTGTGCACCCCCAGGCTGGCTGAGGGGTGGAGACCCTCCCTGCCATCAGCAGGCTCTGCTCCCCCTCGGATCATACAGCACCTCTGGCCCTTCTGCTTTGCTGATTTGCCTGCAGCTCCCATCCAAGAGCCCCAGCCAGACAGGATACAGTGTCAGAGCCTGCTGCACAAGCAGGAAATCTCCAGAGAAGAAGACCCCACCCCAGGCCCTGACACGGAAGCAGAGGAGCACCGAGGCTCTGGCTGCAGCCAGGGATGTGGGCAGGACAGCGCCGCGGGGCTGCGGCTCCAGGGAGGCTGGAATGGGGATGGGCGTTGTCACTCCTCCTGCAGCTCCTTCTTCTGGAAGGCCTGGAGCCTCCTCGCCACCGTCTGCTGGATGATCTCCAGCCCCTCTGCGTCCAGTTCTTTCATGAGAAGCAGGATGGCATTCAGGACATTGTTCTGTCGGGATAAGGCACACACACTGCTTTGTACCAGCCAGCCAGGACAAGGACACTCGATTTTCCCTGCTTTTTCTGGGAACTCCTCCTCCTCCACCACCACCACCAGCGGCAGCAGGTGGGAACAGCCACCTGCAGCCACCAGGACCAACAACAAGGCCTGGGGCAAACACAGGCAGAGGCTGCGTGTGGCACGTGTTGAGGCTGGAATGCAGGACAAACCCATCCGCCCAGCCTCTGGCTGCCAGCCAAGCTCCAGCCTGGCTTCTCTAAGGAAAGGCACATCCAGAGGGGCTGCCCTCGCTCTCCAGCACGTGTAGGATGAGAAAGGACAGGAGCCCCCTGCTCTGAGGAATGAGGAGAGCCGGTGCTCTCTGCAAAGGACCCCTGAAGGTCCCCAGCCCTGCCACGACCACGGGACCATTGCCAACACCAGGTTGTGGCTGTGTCAAATCATGTCCTGAAGAACTCCAGGGAGAAATTCCACAGCCTAAATAACTGTCCTTCTAGGGAGAATCTTTTGTCCAACGTCCAACCTGAACCTCTCCAGCTGCAATGGGGGACCACTTCCCCCTTTTTAAAGGCCTGTGGTGCTGCTCTAGGCAGCTATGGCAGAGTGAGGCACTGTGGGTTAGATCTTGCCATGCTGATTGATGCAACGGCACCGAGTCCACCACTCTGCAATTCCCAGCTGAACCACCAAAATCCAGTTCATCCAAGGCTACATGATGGAGGGGGCTGAGGAACCGCATAAGCTTCCTGTTCAGCAGCCACTTCCC